ACTGAAATACGAATACGAACGGTAGATTACGACAATTTTATGATAATACTGTACCATACCATAAATTTCGGTACCTACCTATTGGAAATTTACAAATCTTTTTTCTTCAAACGTCATGATATTTCGAAAGCAGCTCTTCGCGTCAAATTTTATAGCCAGTGGGATGCGGTTAATAGAAACTAAGGAAACGCATTTGAAATTTCTTTTGGCGTGATCTATAGCAACCCTACAATCTAAACTTCAATCTTGTTGCGTATGGAGGAAAAATAGTACCTATATACAATGTCTTAGTATTTGGAGTAAGGTTTGTGACATAAATTTGCCACAAAAGGACCACTTAAGTACCTATTTCATTTAATATCGTCAAGTCATAATTGGTACGATTTCGTAACCGATATCTAATTACCTTAATTGCGTAATACGTGTAATTTAATATATTATTTGACCTTCGACACCTTTGTTTTACACGGCAAACTAATCACGTACAACCATTTATTTCTGCAACAATACAACGAACATTATTGCACTGGTTACTTAATGAAGCATTAAGTATTGCTATTATGTATTAATGTTTCATTTATGTTAAACCGGGAGATATGTAGGTACGCTTTCTGTGGATTACTGCAAACTTTTCTGGATTCATCTTTTACAAGATAAATCTTAGTGAAAATGGAAAAACGCAATTATCACCGATAGAATCTCATACTAAATTATGTGTGGCGTCAAGCGAGGATATTTGAATTTGTTTTTATCTCCGATGTTATGTTGCAAATGATCTTGAATGGCATATATATTACATAATTAATTGTACTAATTGCGATTATTATCCTATTTTTAGGTACAAACAACAAACCTTACCATTGCAAATAATTATCGAATAATAAGTCATAATTTTTTGTGAAGCAGTTAAAGACAAGGTTTAATATAATTATAATCTGACACATCCATTTGTTATATGAATAATTACTTTATTATTTGCCAAGCGTATGGAAGCCGTCGAAATTGGTATTGTTAAAAACTTCTTTTAGTGTGTAATTTTTAAAGACTTCATTTGGCATCATGGTTCTTTTCATTCTTACTACAGTTTCATAAGACCTATATCCCCAACTTACAGTGAATATACTATAGGTACCGATGAAGGATGAAGGATCCACAGAACCTAGTGATATCAATGGTAAAATTGAAATATGTCAATATTTTCATTCCCATCCACTTTGAATTGAAATTGTATTACAAAGAGGGGGCAATTCTGAAAGACTGAAACGAAAGTTGGTGACAATTTTCTAGCTCAGAAAATTTAATATTGAAGAAAGAAAGGTAATAAGTTTCATTTTTTCTGTAACTACTTTAGGAACAACTGCATGACCGTATCTAGATTGCTATGTGTCAAACTTCATTATTGCGTACGATAATTTTGCTATAGGAACATGTATAGTCAAAATATGCCAATTTCGATTCTCTATCCCATGCAATATTAAGAACATGGTCATTCCATTAAAAAAAACTGAGTTTATAGACTTTGAAGTTTCTTAAATTTGGATCTCCATAGGTGCGGTTGTACGCAACTTAACTTTGTTTTAAGTACAGTAAAAGAAAGCCCTATTCATTCTCTATGCACTGATAAAAATGGGTTGCCATGACTATAACCTTTTTCAAGTAATCAATTATCAAGGTACCATCTGCATCCGCCATTTTTTTTTTCTTAAAGTCAAAATAACTTAAAAACCATAAATGGCAGATATGACATATGGGTATCAAAAGAACTGAAATTTCACGTAGAATCCAAAAATGCAATAAAAAAATAGGGGTTGCCATTTAAAATAACGAAGTTACTATCTACTTCCGGTGTTTCCGGAATTTTGAAAATATTTTACATCGATTCGGCCTTCAGAGTAACTCCTAAGTACAAATTTTCAAAAACCTACCTATTTTACTTTCCCAGAAACTTTTAACTAAAGCTCCCAAAAAAACACCCTGTACACTGTGTTCCAGATGAGGAAATTATAGCGGCCAGAAATTTGTTGATTTCGTTTTTATTCTTGTCTGATGTTATTTGAGCAGATACAAAAAAAAACATTTTCTCATTGTCACTTATTGAGTTTTACAAGAGACATTGATACGTTTCATTTCGGAGAAATCATTATCAACTTAATTTTTTTATATGGCCCGTAAAAAAAAGTAGATACCTACTATATTGAGTAGCATTTTTTTGCTACGAATAAAACGATGTACCTACGGCACACAAAAGAAAACAAAAGTTGGAAACTGTTGGTTTCAGCAAGATAGTGTTCCTACGCACAATGCCCTAATCGTATAAGGATACCTATAATGGACAAATTTCGTGGAAAGTAGAAAAAAATCGATTTGCGCCGACAAAAAGAAAACTCGCAACTTTGCCATTTAGCCTTTTTCTGGTTTGTTCTTTTCTTAGTTTATAAAGATTTAGTTATTTGTTCAATATATTATGTATTATGCCAAAAATGTACTATTTTTAAACGTATAATAAATGTTTTTTTAATATACTCACTTTAAAAATTGTATGCGCCCCTCCCTAGACCAAATCCTAAATCCGCCACTGTACCTGGGCAAGTGTGCATTGTTCAATTACGAATTTTAGGTACAGCTTTCAGTTACAGTCGTGGAAAAAGTATAGTGTAAGCAGAAATTGGTTTGATCTGTGGTGTAAGTATAGGTATACCTATGTGGGTCTGAACACCAATGGTCATATTCCTGCAAGAACTGCAGCACTTTTAAAAAGTAGTAAGTACTATTGTAATAGATAGGTATAATTAATACTTAAACGAAATTAGAAATAAAGGACTCTGAAACACGTGTTTTTCACTCACGTACATAAGCAGAGTTGCTGATTGGTAGATTCAAAAATTTATTGGCGTATTTATATTGTTTTGTTTCGCGTCCGAATTCAAATTATCGGGACAATGATTGCACAGTGCTGTAGCTACGTAGAAAGTAAGGTACCTACAGTAAATAAGTGTATGCCCTGCAAATTGAGACCATCAAACAAATGCGTATTTCATTACATAATATGTAATCTTTCAAACCTAGAGCAGAATGGTGAATAATCTGGTGGATCTTAGCGTAAAACGCTGTTTTACTATAAATAATTTACTTTTTAATATCGCGCCCCATCGTAATCTTTGCTTTAAACCGTTATAGGCGTTTTGTAATTGCGAGTACGTTACTAAAACGGTAGATGGCAATATGGTGAACTTTTCAAACGATCATAATTTAAATTGTGAACGTGCGCGTCGTAAATAGCGGTTTATGATTGTCATTTAGAGCTACAAATAGGATTTCTGTTTTTAATTAGCTTTCCATGAAATTCTGGCGGATAATTTTATAACGCTCCTCATGCATTACAACGTGTCATGATTGCGAAATTTTCTATAATTTATTGCGATATATATATCAGTGCGCAACTCTAGCAAAATCTGTATTTGATCAATTTCGAACTTTCAAAGCGAAGTTGCGTAATAAATGCGCATTTGTATAGTAGATTGTGAATTCTAATAGGCCACTTTTTTTTAAGTTTTGGTAACGTTGATAGTTTGTGGTGGTTGCTTCCTTCCTGTACCCTTTTACCACCCATCGTCAACCCCACCATGCGTTACATCCTGCTCCGTGAGAACAACTCACCACTCTCAAAAGCGACCGACTGAAATTTAGCCGTGGGAAAGAGCTAAACAAACGTTTGCGTACACACTAAGATACGTACTTTTTTATGAAATTTAATATTACAAATTTTGGGTTTTCACACCAAATATTCGTTTCCTTTGAAAAATTCCACTACGTGCGAACGTTTAACGATCGCTTTCGTGTTGATTACTTGTTAATTATGAGAAAATCGCCACTCAATTTATCACTGTTTACCTTCGGCCTGAATGTTATACATTCAGTAAGAAAAAGACAATGAACTTTGAACTCTAGCTAAGATCACGGATTCTAAGAAAATCGTCCCACCACTCATTTTTCAAATTTAATAATTTATTAACTGTAAAGTTTACACTGCGACTTTATAACTAACAAAATTGAAATTATGGTTTAGTAACTAATTTCGTACCAGCTACTGTCACCTTTAATATTTATAGCTAACCATTATCATACTACTTTACAGAGAAACTCTAAATATTCGACCGAAAAGAGCCATTTATCACTTTTTCCCGAGCGACATTTAAATGGCCTACAATTTGTTGCCACTTGCTAAATTAAAATAGTGCTCGATTGGAATCGAGATAAAATGTTATTCAATAAACGACCGATTGAATTAGTTTCTCATTAGATTATGCATGCAGTTTAAAGACGAATTTCTTCAGGAATGCGTTGTGAAATATTTAAAGCTCGAGAAGGACGAGTGGAAGGTGAAAGTGGCACGCACCACTGACTGCTTCGCGCTTTGTTTAAATGGTTTCGTGTTTGTAACGCTTACATGGAACCCGGCGCAAAAATTTACACGCAGAACTTACTTATTTGTCATCCCTCGAACCTATTGTGCTTCTTTCCAAATATATCGTTTCTTCGCAACGGAATTGTCCTGGATATGGATTTGCATGCGCTATGTATGTACCTATGTTATTTTAATTTTCTTCAACCTACAGGGTTGCTTTGCTTCTAAAAAATAGTGTTACCAAATTATAATCCGAAGAGACCGATTTCAATGAGTGACCAAATTGTAGATCGTAGATACTCTGAGCATTCAATTAAAAATTGTGTCTACGCGTCATTTAGTTCATTCAGAGAAATGTGCTTTTGGAAGAGGAAGAGGTAAACGGAGGATAGTGTAGCGTTTAGAGTAGTGGAAGAAATATGGCTACAGTATCCATATTCGATAGGTACCATGCAATGTAATCTCAGCAAAAATGTACCACGAATTAGGGGAGTGCTCTTGGTAATCAATGCAGTTGAAGACTAGGCGAATTTTCTCCAGATCAGTTTGGCTGAAGACATCCTTTCACTGATTTTGCGTAGTGCGTCCTTCGCTCTCATTGTCGCGGCTCGCGTTGCGTCACGTTTCGAGCCAGTTTGAGGAAGTCTTCTTGGGCGCCATCTAAGATGTTCTCCTGGACCCTGGTACACTCGGACGTACTCGTCGCGATCCAGTTGATTTTATTCGTCTCGGTGTTCGTGTAGGAAACCGATGACGTGCATATAAGTTCGTGTAGCACGACGTCTGCACTCGTGCAACCCCTGCCGAGCCAAATTCTTAATCAAGCTGATCGGCGTTTTAGAGTGTCGTACAAGACCGTGCAGAGTACTTTGTCCAGAAATGATGTGCATTTTCGAAAAAATGCACCCGGGCACAACTCGAAAGAATACCTAGATGTTGTGGGACGGGAATGTGTAGGCATTTTGTGAGAAATCGCATGATTACTCGGACCATGGATTTAACACCTCCGGCATAGAAAACTGTCCAAATGGAGTAAAATTTAAAGCAAAGGTGAAATTTTCTGACAAAGTTGTAATCTAGTGCGCGATCGATTTATACCTAAAGATGCTTACCAAGAAATGCCTAATTTTATTTACACCCATCATTAGAACGACTATGGTTCTTGCCATAAAACAACTCGGGAACACTTAAAACAGAATACCTAATATCAATTGTGTACCGCAACAAGATAACCACAACACCCATTTGAAGAAATTTGGTTGTTGCTGCGTCAAAAAGTGTATGAAAACGGCGGCTGATAATCCCCAAATGAACAACAATTGCGGGCGACCATTTTTATAGAAAAATTCGGAAAGTGAACTGAACATCGTCCAACGGAAGATGAGACAAGTCTTAACCAAATTGCATGGATTGCGAACCATGGGTCCGCTATCAGTTTTGTAGATTCGTTTGCGCATCATCAAGAATTATAACAAATTCGCAATTTTAAGCGTTTGTTTTTTCATGTTCTTCGTTACCGTACGCGGAAGCAATTTTTCCGCAAATAATAATATATGCTCTCGGTATATTACTGCGCTGGCGGTTCGAAGCGTATTAGAATAACCTAAACTTTGGTGTTTTAAATGCTCTAGTTCTTCAACGCGAATTTTAACACAAAATAAAATCCGCCCTACAGTAATTTACAGGTGAGTCACTTAACTTCGCACGCGGGTCAACGTGACCGCTTCCTGTTAATTATATGACGATTCTCCACGACCAACCGACTTCCCATTTACTTATCTGAGTAGCACTCACTCAGGGACGCAAAGCGTTTCTCTAAACCATCTTAGTCCGAGTACTCGATTATAATGTACTATGTCTGCTAATACATTAAGTGCCATTCGTGAAACCAGAGTTCGAAATTTTTGTATCGTTTCCGTTATTTGATAGAGACTAACGTTAGAGCGTTGAGTGAGAAATAGTAAAGAGGCGCAACTATAATCTAAAATTGCGATACATAATCCCCATCTCACTTGCCGAAACTTCCTACACCTCACACTTCACAGTGGGGGCGATGTGAGTGTGGTAGACGTGTGATAATGCGTAAACGTCGGTCAACAACACGAACGCTACTACAAATGGGGAAATCAACTACTTTTATGAAGTTGCCGAGGTACTGAAACATCTCGGTGTCTGTTTACATGTGGGGTATCTATTTGTCGGTACCTAAACGCTTAGAGCTATTTACTTTAATTGCCAGTACCTGCACAACGTGATCCTTGCCAAACGCCGAAGCAACCAACTATACTCGACCTATCACGAACTAGAGGTAGAGGCCAGTTAGAGAGCAAAGAGGGGACAAATGGAGAGCAGGGAGAGAACAGGGAGATTGCGGACAGGGAAAGGGCAGTGGGAGGGTGCAGCGAGATATCAGCGAGACAATGGTTTCTGAATTCAACCAACGAGAACCGATGAAAGTGAAATATGACACCACAAAAAATGGTGTATTGATCTTTGATAACATTGAAAATGAAATAAAACGCCACAAAATAATAGAACCATTGACCTTTGAGGGCGAACTATCATTGAGCTTCTCCGTGATCTACTTCCCAAGGTCACCGCCGCGGTGGATAGCAACCTTGAACTGCTCTAAATACGGACCTGCTCAGTATTAAATTATTGTGCAAAGATTGATTCATTAGAAAAAATAACCAGAAATCATTCATTGTCCATTTAGATAATGGATTGCAAGATTTTGAGCGGTGTATACTTGATGTAGAGGTGGTCAGACAGTTTTTAGTAATTAATCACTTTTTGGACTCTATGTTCTAAGACTGCATTCAGAAATATTAACGCCTTTATAAGTCGGACAAACTTCATTTGACTTTTATGAAATCATGCTCACACTAGTACAATGCGATCAAAAATGAGTTGCTGTCGAGTCACCTTTGGCATTTTTGTTTACATGGGAAATCATTGAACTTCCAAAGGCCACTAGACAGCAACTCATTTTTGTTCGCCCGTTATATGTATTAAAAATTTGTCGCAACTACAAGATGTTGCAATTGTATTTCCTAAATCAGCGGTTCCCAAATTTTTGACTATGCGCAGTGTTGCCACTTTAGTTTTCAATGTTTCCCTTCACAAAAATGTTTTCCCACACTCCAATTTGGCGTGTCTACACTAGTGCTCGTACCACCGGCCTTGACTTGGCGTACCACTGGTGGTACGCCTACCCCAGTTTGTGAACAGCTATCCGAAACGCTTACCGTTATAGAAGAAATAAACTGAGACAATGGAATATTGAAGGATCCTCAGGATCACATAGAAAGGTTCCACCCTGTATATATAACTTGCGACGATACATACATTTTTGAGAGTTGGCAACCAAGCAATTTCTAGGTGGGAAAAAGCTGCCTGCGCCATCTAAAAAGCACGAACGGGGGTTACGTTGATCATCTTGTCTTGAATGGCGGTCGTGAACGCGTCGCTCCATAAATGTTTGTTGTTGTTTGCAATCAATAATAATTGCGATCATTATTAAACAAACTTTTCACAATTTGAGTGTTATATTTTACGTCCCTTCCCTACTATGCTTCAGGTCAAAGCGTTGTCGACAACTAACGTAAGGGGGCCCTGCCTTAGATGTTTGATCACGTGCCACCTTTCAAATTTAAGCGGGATCTTGTTTAGTTTTGGAGGGAATAGTCATTCGAGTGGCCATTTTTAAAAGTTGCCGGGTTGACTTTATTTTCGTGTTCTTGTAGTGTGAAGTTAGCGTAGAACCTGGGGGTTAAGTACACTACAACATGTTAACGACCATTCATCTGAACCTTGCAAAATACATACAGTCAACAACAATGTATCAAATTCATGCCTTGGGCGTTGAGATAGTGCTTTTAGTCTTTTTTCCAACGATCTTGGTGCACGAATAACGATTCTGACATCCTTTGCTCAAAATACCTACTGTGGTCGCCAAAAATGCATCAAATTCATGTTTGAGCAACGAAATAATGCTCTTGGTCTTTTTTTCAACGTACTTGGTGTAAGAATAACGATTTTAACCTAGGGATTGAAATATATTGATTTCTATTATATTAAGCCTTTCATGTTCCAGATACACTCGAAGTCCTGTAAGTTTTGTTCCTGATGTTGCGTTAGCTTCCTTCCGGCCACTTTTGAGTTATAGCGCAAACGGTCGTACGGATGGACAACAACACAAAACATCTCGCAAAACATAAAGGATCTTAGGATCCTTAATAAAATTGATCTGCTATGCGAGTGCAGCCTTATAGCAAATTGACGGTTTGCCATAAATAAATAAGATAGACGTACGAAGTACAACATCGAAAAACAGATGAATTTAAAAAGGATGATGAATAAAACGCAAAATAAAAATATGCATATTTTCCTTCCTTACAGAAATTAGTTAGTTTTAGATTAACGTTAACTCCAGTCCTTTGCAACGATGAGAGAAGTAAAAGTGTGAAAAGAGCGACAAGTCGTTCGCTTTACAGGAAATAATGCGTATGTAATTATTATTTAGTTAACATAGGCGAGAACACCCTTCCCATCATGCAAAATTAATTTAACGAGTAATGACCGGAACTTTATACATTTAAGAAGTTAAGTCTTTATATAAAAAGGGGGTTGTTAGAAAACCATGCGAAGCACAAGCACTGCACGTTTATGACGTCACTTCCTCTATAGACTCGGTTTCATTAACATATCGTAAAAAATTAAGATGAAGAATGCGTTAGTGTCATCATTACTGTTGTGTTTGACACGCAAGACAGAATCTGCTAAGTTGACGGATTATGACTCATTAAAGGGGTTATAATTTAAAAAATCAGGGTCGCATTTATAACAATAAAAAAATTAAACAATCGAGTACTCTGTACTGTATGTAATTGAAGAATAGAACGGAACAAAAGCTGTCTGGCTTCGCGTAATCAACTCAGAAATTGGGGGATTCACTTAGTAGGGGTTGGTTTAGTTGTCAGCGTAAAGGGGACCTGTATGTATTGTCTCACATATGGGCTCCCTTCATTTGTTAACAACTGAACCGCGACTCATATCGGGATATCTTATCGATTACAATTGTTTGACTACGTTTTCCTTTACTCATGTTTTGATTGCAAAATTATGACGGCCGCAACCTTTGTCGTACCACCAAACGTTTCTGTCAATTAGCTATTACCGATGTGATTCACACCGTAATATCCTTGAAGTGTCTTTTGTCGTTACTTAACGGCGCGGCGAGAACACTTACTTCATAAATGTAATTAAACGTCGCCGTCTATAGTCTTATTCTTCAGTAACGAACAATTATGCTTGTAATAAATTTAAATCTGACAGATGATTCGAGTACGAGTATTTACATACTAATTTATACGCGTATCATAAGTAGGTAAGCTAATTCTGGAGATTTTATTACATTCACTTAGTATTCTATATAAGGGATACAACATTGTTTAATTTGGTGCGGAAGGTCACTGAATATATTGACCCAAACAATCGTAGGTGGAAGTCTCACTGGTATTGGAACAACCAATAAATGTACCTATTCACTATGGTCAGTTATTTTATATTCATATATTGTAATAAAACTGAAATATGTAAAACAAATATGTACTTATTTTAATGTCGCAGGCTGGGCCGCGGGGCGTAATGGATTGAATGACCTTAGATCCACCCCACCCCTTCCTCAACCTTTAACTGAATAGGGAAAAGCTGAAACTTTTTGCACTCCCTCTCACAAGAATTGTTGAACTGTACGGTGCCTTATCTACCCTCCAAATGACTATTCAAAATCCAGACCAAAATAGTTTCAAAC